TTCCTTGAAGTCATTCCAGGATAGCACCAAACCCCGCGTCACTTGCCCTCTGTTCGGGTTGTTCCATAAATCAGCGCTAGCTATAGGTACCAACCAGAAGCGGTAGGACCGACATCGTTACGTTGGCCTGAAACAGACCACAGTTTGATATCACTAAACGTAGTTTGCAGTCAACACAAACCCAGACGTACTTTTATAGCACTACACTGCAGTAGGAAGACGTTGATATAGACAGCCGTCTTCTCGAAATGTTATGTCCACACGATTGTCGTCTATGCCAAAGTACAGTAGCAAAGGAAATATGGAAGGGCGAAGCGCCAATTATATTAGGTAATCCTGGTCCTTCATCATAACAGCACTGAGCGGTATATGTCTCGACTTTATACGGTGTTATTCTTCAGGCTTGGGACAAGGAGTTTGGACGATCCCAAAATACGGAAGCACCTCTCGATGAAATCAAAGATCCTTTGGTGTTGTTTTGGATGTATATCTACGAAAAAAGGCACCTGTTTCGTCCATACTGTATGTGCACACTAGCTCTGAATTTGCGTTTGTTGTGGCTAGCTCTCTGTTTCTAGTAACGTACGCTTCCGATATACTCAGATACTCATACAAGTACTGGAATATTCACAAAGCTACTAGTGCGGAGAAAAACATAAGCCTTTCAAAGAAAAGAAGCCACGACAGAACTAAAGAACATATGGGTAACTTTTAGCAGTAGAATAGTAGAATACAGGATATCGATGCGGCGTTGATATTTACAACTACCTCGAGCTCCTTCGACGCGCTTGCCTTGCTGTAATGGGTTCTTGTAACTAATTGTCATACACTTACAAAATGAAACGAAACAGCAGGTTGTCAAATCCAACACATATCAACGACACACTACATATCAACGAACTCTCTTAAATCTAGCCTCCTTCGCAGTCTTGTTGGGCGTCGGCGTTATTTTTTCTATGAGCGACGCGAGTAATATGCGGCCGCGAAGGACGATTTGCTGCCGGAGGAGTTTTTGCCATGGAGAGAAGGATTCGCGGCAAAAACTCCCTCGGCAGCAAATCGTCCCTCGCGGCCGCATATTACTCGCGTCGCTCACAGAAAAAAATAACGCTGACGCCCAACAAGACTGCGAAGGAGGCTACTTAAATCTATGAATGGAAACATCAAGACAAAGACATTTACCGTTCTCCTGCATCCGTTGTTTGTCGCTTGGCATAATTCTGTGATGAATCACTCCGGGCCATATCTACACCTTCCGGCGACTTGAGGTGGAAAAGCAGACGTGAAACGAGTCAACTGCCGGGCTAATTGAAAGGTCCGGAGGTCTCTCCGAGCCGGTGTTGGAAGTAGCGGAACTCCGGTGTGACCGCTTAGGCGGTACGCGCCCGGTAATCAGACCGGTTTGTTCTGAGGGTTCAAGAGTAACGTCCTCATGAATCTTTCATAAAGCAGGGCCGGGGTTTACCTCTGTTGGTGTCGTATTTTCTTTCAGAGATGTGTATTTTACTCAGGGGTGTTTTAAGGAGACTGTTAGAAGACCACATTTAGATCAGACGGCGTCCCGTAGTTTAAAGAAAAAAAAAGAGAAAAAAACTTAGTTTGTTGCTATAATATTACACAAAAGTATCATGTTGTTAAAATTGTGCTAATTTAACAATGGTTAACATATACATGGATGAAAGTCCTTTATTTCCACATATTATTGGGTACAGAGTGGTGCTTATTTTTAGCCCTTGGGCCACACAGCTGTGCAAGCATAGATAATACAACACCAGGGGACTAGTCCACTGGACATGTATTCGGCATATCAAAGTGCTATTTCGTATAAAAACGATACAATTATCATCCCTTTTGGCATGATATTCTCTTAAAAGACTGAGGCCAATGTGAATTTTGGTTTCAAACTTTACTCATTATAACTCACTTTTTACAGCTGCCCACAGCCCGAAGCACAATATGTAGTCAACAAAACATTTCACATACGTACGTGACCGATGTTATGAAGCAGTCCATCAAAAATTCTCTCCTATCTGTAAGAGTTTTGGCAAATGAGTCGGAACTAATGACTGAATATGTATGTGGACATGGTAGTTGTAATTGTTTCTTCTGTGCAGTCACTGAACTTCGTTTAAGGAGTATGTGCTTAAAACAGCGCCGTCAAGAAGGCAGATGATACAAAAACAAGTGATGGTAAAGATTTCACCAGGTCTTCATAAGGCATGTTTCTTCAGTCTTGGTCGTTCTCTGACGGACGCGGTCGTTTCTCCTTGGCAGAGACCGAATGTTCGCTAATTGCTCCCGTAAATCTTCAGAGACTTCCCGTCCCATTTACTGGTGATCATACGCACCGTACCTACGCATGCGGCATCCACAATCACCCATAGTTCCTGTTGCCGTACTCTCTATCTATCTCTCTATGGCAATCACTAGATATTTATTTGCAATCAGATACAGATCCATGTACAGATACATATTCATGCACAGATACAGATTCATGTACAGATATACAGATACAGATTGAGAAAGATGACCGTGTCAGTCCCCACACCTGAGTGAGGGGGGTTGACACGGTGGCCTTGGTGTGGATTTGTTTAAGGTGGATAACAGGTTGCGAATCTAAGACCCACACACTTGGACATCCGTCTTCTCCAGCGGATCTGTTGCCGTACAGAAGTTGACAGACGGTCTGACATGACGTTTGACAAACGTGGTGCTGGGGAGGCGCCATATTATCCCTGACTGGAGCGGCTGTGACGTATGTGTGAAGTGGGAATTCTTTTGACTTGAAAATTGCAGGTTTTACTGACGAATGGTGCGGTATCTGGATACACGTATCCGTCTTATTGTGCTGCATATTTAGTTTGTCGCTGTGGTTCTTCAGGGAGCGTCCTAGGTCTATTTCTACCACGCTTACACCAGGGATAATGAATTAAGCGCGTTAATCGTAACTCGTGGCGAAGCAAAAGGGATCGCCCTTATCTTGTTATGAAGTCTGCACTTTAAGTCAAGCAAGGATATTCCTATATTATTCATTCAAGATAAATGCTATGCTATTGTTAATCTGTCATGCACAAAATATGAAAGCCTGAGACGGTGTAAAAAGATTAACTAGTTGAGGCAATGAGAATCCTTTTAATATTTACATAGACCCATTGGTTCTATAATTTGACATTAACGTAGACATGGATTTCCAGTTGCTATTAGCATGCACAACGAGTCAGTCTTTGGTGAAATATCCAATGCATTGTGCGTGGACCCAAATGCTCCAAGGAGCTTACCATTTGTAAGAGGCTGTATGCCCATATTCAGTGTTCTGTCGCCTCAACGAAAATTCTGGAAAATTCAGATACAGACATCCTCATCACCAAAAGGACACTTTCGTTACGTCTTGAAATGATATAAAAATACATATTAAAATATATAGTATTTTTGTATGTGTGACTCCAGATATGACATATAGCTGAGTGTATTGTTTGTAAACGTCCCATCTAATTTGAACATGTCGTGTCGCGAGGGTCCGGACTAGTCTCCACCAGACTCTTTTGCAGGCTGAATAAATAGTAGAAGTCGGCCTAAAAAGAATGTAGGCCTGGGGATTTGTCCGACCACAGAGGGTCCAGTTTGCCTGCATAGTGACTTCTCGCAGGCAAAGTGGACTCTCTGTGACCGGCCAACTCCGCAGGCCAGCTACATTCTTTTTTACCACCGATTTTACTACCGATTTCTACTATTTATTCAGCCTGCAGAAGAGTCTGAGTGGAGACTAGTCTGGACCAAACCCTGTTCTCCACCGTAATTTCCCGCCGGCTGATCCCGTCAGCGTGACAGATCACGCCTCCCGTAGGTAATTCAATTTTCCCCGGGACAACCTGTTTGCGCCCATGTATCTTTCAGGGATTGGAATACTAGTACGCTTCCCCAGGCCATGCCCGAAATCTCAGAGGTCGACAAGTTCAAGGAAGCAGTACTACTACACTTGAGGAGCCATTAAGAGCGCAGCGCACTCCCCCGTCTTACCCCAACTGAGGGGCGTTACGCAGTACCTAGTTCAATATGAAGATCTTTCCCCGGTCCTAAGATCCAATAGTAACGGCAGGACACGGGCAACCGAACGGGAGACACGGTGACCTGAAGTAAGGTGTTTACGTGTGACGTCACAGCCGCCATATTGGTTGGTTAAACAGGGAATAGTACGTCGTCGGCCGAACGCACTGCGCCTGCGCTAAGCCTGTAATGTATTGTGCATGGCACCTCGGCAGAACGTCTCATTTAAGGTCTTATTCTCTTACTGAAATGATGATTTTCCTTCTATAGTTTTAAAATGTTGTGTCGGAAAAGATATCGGCAAGCAACGTTCTGATCTAACGTTGACCAAACATCCAGCGAAAAACGTTATAAAAATCAGGTTTCACGCACGCGCAGTACATTCTTCCGACGTGTTGTCAAACTTGTACATCACAGACGTGCAACCTCAGCTGTGTACGGATTACGTCATAGTCAGAGAAATTCCTCTGCAGTACCACGGAACGCCGATAGATGTATCATTTTCTCGAGACCTGCCTTCTTCTAGATCTTAAATACCATACAGACCCATACAGACAAGTTGTTTGTACACAGCTAGTCCACAATCACCTGTCGACGTTTTGGTGACCGTCTGCCACCTTCCTCAGGGCAATACTGACTGTCTCTACTAGTTGTCGCTGCTGCAGTATGCATGCGACCCCAATAACGTTTGAATGTATCCCCCACTGTTTTTTCGATCCATGCTACTCTTCAAGCAGAGTGTTTTGGTAAAAAAAATTCAAGTGCAAAAAAAAAAAAAACCCCAATAAAAAAAGCCTAAAAACACGCCAAATATAACCCAACCCCCAAACCTCTGCTTGAATAGTAGGCTAAAGGCCATTTTGTGCCCTCTGGCGGTACGGTGTATTCTTGTCGGACTGGTTTATAGGTCATAGTTGTAAAGTGACGGCACACCGAAGCCGAGAATCGGGGCAATGTTGAACAAGATGGCAGTGAACTCAAACAAGACGTTTTTGGTCCTCGTTATCTGCCTGTTGTTATCCGAGTCGATTCTCGGGACAGTGCAGTTGTTCGCGACGGTACCAGAGAACGCCGGCGCGGGAGAAACTGTCCTCAGCGTCTTGTCAGCCATAGGAGAAACGCGCGAGTCGGACGGTAGAAATTTTCGCGGGGAGGAAGTTCTCTGTAAAATTGTAGACGGGAACAAAAACGGACGTTTCCGTGCCACAGCGGGCTGCGTGTTGCAAGTGGCGCGTCCGCTGGATTACAGCGTGGACCCGAGCTATAACCTCACGGTGAACGTCACGGTGAACGTCACGGTGACTGTTCAAGTTCAAGTCCAGGACGTGGAGGGATACCCTCCTGTCTATAACGACACGTGCGAAATGCCGATCCGGCGTGGAGAGAGTCGGTCAGGCGATCTGATCTTCGATGTGAGATGGCAGGCTGAGGCCGTGGTAAGGCCGGGTGGAGTGATGTTTTTCGATCAATACGAGTTCTTTGACCGGTCTACGGCCTACGGTCACAGTTCCACCGCTACCAATGACTGCACAGCTTGGCTTGTATGGGACGTAGGGCATGCAGTACAGATCAGACAGTTTATGGACGTTTGGGACTCAAACCTAAGGTGCTTTAAATGTTTTCATACACAACATGACACAGCGACCTTCCAAGTCGGAATCATCAACAGACACCGTGGGAAATCGGCATGCACATTTCTAGATCACTTAGGTGTGTCTAGAACACAGAGTAACGTACACTTTAGAGTTGCCTATTTGTTAAAGCTAGTTTCAGCGAGAGGCCATTATTTCACGTGCAGCCTGCCTGGTGACGTTTCTGTCACCACTGTTGTCGGTGCCATGATGGCCGAAGTAAGCCATCCATTTGCTAACGTTCATGTCCAGCCAGTCGGTTGTCCTCCGAAAAAATACGGCTTATTGTGTGATCAGAACTGTACCTGTGAGAACGGCGCCCGGTGCCATGGGCTTAACGGGGCCTGTAAGTGTCAGCCGGGGTGGCAAGGTGTCGTCTGCGACATACCTCACAATACCGTGGCAATTACTGCGACCTCTAGCGACTCGGAGCGGATATACATCACTGGTTCTCTGGTATTGAACTGCAAGGCTTTCCATCTGACTGCCGCGAAGATGATATGGACGTTTCCAAATAAAACAGAAAAGTGGCTGCAAGGGACGGTTGAAGATCGAGTAAGGATCGAAAGCATACAGCCCGAACACAACGGTACCTACACCTGCACTGCCGTGACGGAAGACGGGAGGGTCGTTCGCGCAAGTTTTGAGCTTCAAGCCGTCGAGTGCCCTCCTGGGAAAACGGGAGAACTGTGCGCTGAGCCGTGCGATTGTCCACGTGGGGCGAGTTGTCACCGGTGGGCGGGCTGCGTCTGTCCCGTAGGGTGGACAGGACCCAGGTGCCGGACCCCCTGTCCAGGCGGAACTTACGGAGAGGACTGTAGCAGCGAATGCCGCTGTCAGAATCAGGCCACGTGCGCTCCTACCGACGGTCGGTGCAACTGCAGCGCGGGTTGGTTCGGACCAGACTGCAGCGTTCCCTGCCCCGCCGGTCTGTACGGATGGAGATGTCGGTACGACTGCGGCTGTAAGAACAACGCCACCTGTCACCACGTGGATGGCAGCTGCACCTGCGTGCCGTCCTGGTCTGGACAGCTGTGTGACGTGAAAACGGACGAGAACACGTTCCCGTTCCTGCTCCAGATCGTCATACCACTCACACTGACCCTGCTAATCTCTATAGCATTGGTGGTAACACTCTTCACACGGAATAGGGCTAATAATCAGATAGGAGTAAACCACGAAGAGGAAATGGCTCTTCTGGAACTGCAGAACATAGAAGAAGACATGGCGGAGAGTCTGCAGCCCGGCTGGCTCAACAAATGGGAAAAGAAAGTCAAGGACCTGAGAATGGGTGAGCTGATCGGACTGGGTGCGTTTGCTCAGATCAGAAAAGGGCACCTTTGTACCGATGGCGCTAAAGTCGCGGTAGCCGTGAAGTCGGTCCGGGGGGAGGACCGGCAGTTCTACCGAGCTTTCTGTCGGGAAGTCGCCTCGCTGATAGTCGTGCACCAAGAAGGCGGCGGACATGCCAACATTGTCCGGCTGTTCGGCGTCATCACCAAGTCCACACCAAAGTGTATCCTCCTGGAATATGCCGCCAAGGGCGACCTTTCGGTGATTCTAAAACAGCAACCGGGGCAGGATGGTGGATTTCCTTTGGCTGACCTCCTACGCTATGCCGTCCACATATCGTGTGCCCTGAAGGAGCTCCGACGTCTCCGTATCGCTCACGGCGACGTGGCCGCTCGGAACGTTCTCGTCAGCGGTGATGACGTGGCCAAGCTTGCTGACTTCGGCCTAGCCCATGACGTGTACACTGCTAATGCTTACGTCTCCGCAGACAGACGAGGGGTCGACGAACTCTTGCCTCTGAAGTGGATGTCCCTGGAGTCGCTGGAGACTCGCAAGTTCACGTGCGACAGCGACACGTGGTCGTTCGGCGTGCTGCTGTGGGAGATCGCCGCCTTCGGGGAGGAGCCCAACTATGAGCAGGAAATCCAACTGAGTTGTCCCAAGTTGGTGGGACTCCTGAGACAAGGGGTCCGTCTGCAGAAACCACCCGGATGTACGGACAGGCTGTATGACGTCATGGCGTCGTGTTGGCGGGAAGAGCCGTCGGCAAGACCTGAGCCGATAGAACTCGAGCAAAAGCTGACAGAATGTCGTCATGAGTTAGATCCCCTACTTGTTGTGGAGTTGGAGACTTTAGTTTAGATTGTGATGTGCGCAGCAGTGCACTTAATTCGCGAATGGTATCTTTGTCGGGAGCGTTGACAGGCCCTAAGAGTTATTTTCTTTTCAACATGTCATGTATAACTTGCGAAAACAACTTTAGAAATCCATGCATTGAGTCAAATCTCAGCGGAGAAAACTTTTATTATTTTTCTACATGTATTGGAACTTTTAGTGTAAAAGGTAGACGAATTGGGTTAGTTGCAATGACTTTGGTAAAATAGGAAAGTGCACGGATTTGTAAGACTATTATAAAAGAAACAATTACACAACGCTCATAATTTTTTATGTACATTTAGGAATAATGCTTTCTTTAGAAGAAAAGGTCTGAGCTATATATTTGTCGAATCGCCATAACTAGTATATATAGATGTACGCCAACAATATAACAACCGCTCGGTCATACACAATTGACACGTTACACACGACTTACCAAATATTCCCACCCACCGTTCATGCTCCAAGTTCTAAATAAATAGCTTTTGTTTTTTTAACCACATATCATCACAAAGTACGACAACACAGCTTTACTATAATCCCTGGGGGTCTAAGCCCTGCCCTCCACTACTTTTACAACTTTCACAGGGTCAGCACACAACAAAACCTTTGGCACAGGTACGGTGAGGTAGGGCCCGCGGTACGGGGTAACGCACAGGTAGACAAAAGCCTGCGCGGGGTAACGTTACCGTCCCGGGGGTGAAAGGGGACTCTGACTGGGTGAAATGGATATGGAGAAGGGAAACTGTATCTGGTGGCGGATTGTGTTGGTAGAAACCAGCCACAACCTAACCCCACGCCACCACCGGGTGTTTGCAACGGGCGGGGTGTTACATTTTACCAAAGTAGGGGTGTTTGGAAATTACACTTACTTTAAAACACCCTAAGGTATCTATTTCTAATTTGATTAAAATGGCATACAGTAACATACATAACTATAAATTGTATTTCCCTTATTGCTACAGTCTAGTCAAGGGATTTAACTTTATTTTCCACAGTACACTTTTTGAACTCCCCCTTTTCTTCATGGTTTGACTCACTTTCCAGGCCTTGGCTGCGCTGTTATTTGGTCGCACCCAAAGCGCTGATAAGAAGTCTTTAATTAAGTTTCCCGGTGAAAAGCGTCGGATGATCAGGAATGAACAAACAAATCTCCGCCCAAACGACCGATCATTCAGAGATCTGTCTGTAAACCTGACGATTTTCAACAACCTACTGTACAGACACCGACCAGGAAACAAAAACCGGTAAGTACGAGTCCAGTTTTAACGAACATAAACACCTCTTCATGCCCCTATCCCTGTACGCTATCTCTAGTCTCTCTACCGTGTCTATTCATCCTTGAGATCTAATTATCTTCTTGTGCGGGTACATGACTACGAGAAAGAATGTTTTGTCAATATGGTAGACCATGTCAACATGCCGTTCCTAAACTGACTTGCCAATAACCATGGACGTTTTTCTTTGTAATTTAGTGAAGTAGTGATGTTCAATATGAATATCTTGTTGTTGGTTAAATTTGATTGTTATCAAAGAGTCGTACTTGATATCAATATGGTGAAGATATATTGCTGAAATATTGTCGATTTCATCATTATGACTACTTGCTATGTAATTCTTGATTTGCGGAAGTGACGACAATGTCATAATTGGTACAAGTGTGAGAATGAGAGATTCACAGGACCAAAAGTGTTTCATATGGAAAATGAGTAAAAATTTGGAGAAAAATTAAGAATGGTGGGGCGAAGAAGGGGCACGATAAATTATCGATTGTAAAAAGTGTGGCTACCTAAGACATAGAGACGTGTCATTACTTTAGAGTTATGACATAAAACAAGAGCTTATACATTCCATAAGTCCATGATTATCTTTACAAACTGGATGGCTGGCCCCTGTCATATGTTAAATCTGACATATTATGATAAGGCCATGAAACGACAAAGTTTTCAATCCATTCTTTACATCGGGCCTTTTCAGCCGAGACACTATAATTGGTTAGGATTAGGCGTTTTCTGAAAAGCCTTAAGTCAGATAAAAAGCTTCTCTCTGCTAATCTCTACATATCTAAAAAAAGAAACTGTAAGATATAGGTCAACATTTAGATAACATAAGAACAAAGTCTAGATTGATATCTGTTTTGTCATATTGTGTGGTTAATGTGTTGAAATGAATATTTGTTCCCCGTTTGAATTATGTATGAAAGTATTACAAAGCATATTTGTCACAGATATATATCTACATAGACTTGCGTGCTCCTGAGACCGTATCCGACATGTGTATGATTGAGTGAACTGCGCAAAGACTATGTCATCATTCCTAATTCTTTCTTTTGTGTTTGGTATCAACCTGAGCACGCAAGCACAGCATTTCTCACCGCTAACAATAGCGTGTAATGACTTGTATGTAGTAGACTAATGCGACGAGGTTAAGCTTTGTTAAGCCTCACCACCGTACTGTGTAGCGAGCCGAGGCACTACTAGTATGCTTCTCCAATGTGCCATGTGCCGAGCCATCCCCGTTACAGGCGTCCAATGCGATTTCAGGGCAGCAAAACGAAATATTCTGAATAAGGCAATCTTTGTGATATTGTCACATATTGCTTTACATTAGCACATTTCAGTCAGTATTTCATACTTAAAACTGGGGAAACAGGCCCCAAAATGAATCCTTTATTTTCCGGGTGGTACCCTAAAAAGCAGCCAAGGGCCCTTCCGGTAACCATATTCCATCAGAATTTTGGGATTTTTTTTTTGTTCCATGAGGGTCAATATACATTGGGATAATGTGGTTCCAACTCACTATGTAGATAAATGGCTAGAACATCGGCTTAAAAAATCGTGTTTCCAAGCCATAAAAACTGCACTGGATCCGGATACCTCTGGCCCGGCCGCTACATCTACAAATTTAATTTACACTTCACAGTAAGCTCGAATATAGCTTTTCAAAAAGAGCTGGAACAAAGGATGAGAAAAATTCATCTGTAGTACAAAACATGCTACAGACCGTGAGACCACCATGTAGGTAACTGGTACGAGTATCAGCTACTCACTTGTGTAGTAGCATACGGAGGTCATTTTTTCAGGAAACTAAAATAAGCGTGACAAAGCAAATAGAAGTTAGGATGTATTCAACACGGGATCAGTGTATTGCCTTGGGCGACTGACTGTCATTTGATCCTAAGACTAACATTTGACATAACAACATATCCTTAACTTTCGGTCATCTTGTATAATCAGTGAGCAAAGTAATCAAGAAACTTAAACTTGAAAATATCACGAATAAAATTACAAAAGGTAGTTCTGCTTATACAATATAGGGTTATCGTGCCTCCCCAAGGTTCCTATAACCATTGAGTAAACCACTGAGTGAGCGAAGCTACATCTACAGATAATCACCGATCAAAATAACCTGCGAACTGCGAACTATTAAGAAGCTGCATGTAGGTATTAGACGGAAATTTGTATTGGACCCTTTTGACTAACATTCAGGTTTCAAAGTATCTTCCCTACAATATGAACGTGGCCGGCCAGTCGTGGCGACAAACTGCACAGTCTCATTAGTTCTATATGCCTTTAAGGCTACATGTATGTCCTTGATGTCATCAACCACTCCAGTTTATCAGTGAAAGCTTTGTTTGTTTCCATCGGATGTAACACAAGCAGATCACACGATTCCTCGGAATGTAATGAATAGACAGGACTATAGGCGCTTATTGTACAAGCCTTGATATCACCGTGTATATCGATATCAGTAAACACTCCAGGGAGGGGCGGGGAACATCGGGGGCAAATGTCGGGCAACTGTAGTCTCCACAGCAGGCTTCCTGGTGGGCCTTTTTTTGCTTTTTTTGTGCTATTTTTTGTGTAGCCATGGTGTAGCATACCTTTTCTGATTGCTGTTGAGTTTCTTAGCTTCTACTAGTGCAGGCTGCAACCTCCTTGTTGAAAGTGCAACCTCCTTGTTGAAAGTGCAACCTCCTTGTTGAAAGTGCAACCTCCTTGTTGAAAGTGCAACCTCCTTCAATGTTGAAAGCAATATGGGATGAAAAAGGCTGGACGACTGTCAGAAACCCGATCCTCTACCAGGCTTCGGGAGGCGGGTAGAAAGAGTAGAAATTGGCCAAATAGAGACATGACATGCCGATGGAGTTGGTCTGATTTTGCAAAATGTAATCTCTATCGGACCAACTCCCCCTGCATGCTATCTCTTTATTTGGCCAATTTCTACTCTTTCTATCCGCCTCCCGAAGCCTGGTAGAGGATAGGGTTTCTGACAGTCGTCCAGCCTTTTTCATCCCATATTGCTTTCAACAAGGAGGTTAAGTACAAGTATTTAACCTCCTTGCTTTCAAGAAACTAAATTGGTACAGGCGTGTAGATAGGCGGACATACGTTGTATGTTCAGTATGCGATTCCGATGAGACAATATCACTTTGTTAAATGAACTAGAATTTACGAAGTCCTTTTTTTATTTTTGTCAGACTTCTTTTGTTCTGGATTGACACGGTTTTCATTTACGTCTGTTCAAATACAAACAGTGAGACATTTATGCCAAGTTAATGATCTGTAGTTCCCTATTATTGTCACAGATACAGTCATTCATTTTCTGGAAGTCATTACGATTGCACGACACTGTCATCAAAAGAGACCAGTCACTGTGACCGATGAAGAAAGATAATAGCTTCGCACACTAATCTTACTGTCACACAAGGCATGTCAGCGTCTCCCTGACGACCGCAGCCAACAGTGGAAACATGCCTGTCAGCATATTCATGGGTACCCGCCGTGTCATGGCAACTATTGTTAAACGTTCCACGCTGTGACAGCACGAATTTTCTCTCATCTGTCCACGTCTACATATATATACACAGCGTTTTACGTTAGAAGGTCTTTATCGTTCTAGCTTCGTGTGAAGAGGTTGTGTACTGTGTCCCATCCGGCTTGTGCCATGGTCAAGTGTTAACCAGGAGGTTGGTGATAGGGAGTTCACTGGACCCTTGGTTCTATTCCTGATTTCTATTTTAGACTGATGTAATGGAGCTGGACATGATTCAGAGTCTGTCTGTCGTGAGCTAATGTGTTTTCTATGCGTTCAATTCTGCCATTGACATCTCTATGCATCATGCAACATGATAGGGTTGAGTTCTTTCTGCCTGTATGAGGTATCCTGTGTATTCCTGACGATAACTAATGATGGTTTAGTGCATGTTGGAATATAATCTGTGCTAACGATGGCTTTTCAATGTCTTTGCTGCAGATGCTCAGAAGTGACGCACAACGAAAATGGCTTGACGACTGTTGATGACGTTGCTAGGGGTATCTAAGACCATACAATTTCCTGGAGCCGCAGACATATTTACCGAGAGACTTCCAAGTTTGCTGCCTCCTTAAAATAACAATAGGGTCTGGATTCAATACCTTTAGCGAGTACAAATAGATTCTGGTTTGCACTTTCGGAACTCTGAGTAGCAGCACGACTCGGCAGCAATCATGATCCGGAGCATGGGCGGAAGTTTAGAGGCGGAGTTTGAGAAGCAGAAGGCCCAGCGGAGGCGGCAGGAGCACAAGAACATGGAGGACCAGATGAGGAAGAACCGCATCGACAGGGTGTTCCTGGACAAGGAGTACACGCACGTGGAGTGGATGCGCAGGAGAAACCTACACGAGTACGACCTGGCCCAGGAGAAGATCATCGACCAGCTCGCCCGGATCTACGCCAGACAGTGCCAAATCGCCGAGGAGAAACTGGCGAAGAAGGAGGAGGAGGAAAGAAATAAGAGACTACGAATAGAGCAGAAGGCCAACGACAGGACGAAAACGAACACGAAGCGGCCTAAGACCACGGATTCTGGGAGGTCCCGCCGGGCGCAGCTCACGTCACAGTTCTCCCGGACGTCCCTGGGTAGGCCGGCCACCAGCTCGTTCCCAAGGTCCCAGGGGCCCGCCGAGAGGGCGCAGACGCCAATGTCGGAACCGAGGGTATCACACAGGGGCAGTCTAAGCAAGGTTAGTTCAACTATAGTGAGGAAGATACTGGAAGTGACTAATGTATGGATACAGAAGTCTAGAGATCCTATTCTCATTTATTTTGCAGAGGTGACTTTATGCGTTAGACCAAGGAGTGAGTGAGCGAGTGAGTGAGAGAGAGTGCAGAAACACACAGACAGACAAGCCAATACCTCAATCAGTAAAGTAAACATCACAATGTACACAACGTATGACATTTAGAGGAATACTACTAGAACAAGCATTAGAAATGCGTGCATGACAATGAAACAGAGCTAATCGATTTTAAAGGGCAAAAAAAAATGACGAACGACGTTGTTTCCTCTTTCATGCAGGCCATGCCTCCACGAAGCCAGAGCAGAGTCAGCTTTGCCCAGCCGCAGGGTCACCGAACGGCTTGGGGAGACGACGATAGCGACAGGATCTCGGAAATTTCCGACGTGTCGTCCAGCTCCGACGAGACCCGACGCCCGCCGATGAAGGTCGAAGTGCGGTCCCTCGCAACACCTGCGCAAAATGGAGGAAAGAGCGGTAGCGTAGGACCCAGTGTACCTCCGGCAACCACCATTTCTCAACCAAACCCTTTTCAGAAGAAGAGACTGGTCACACCTCCCACTATCCTAGTGTTGCATCAGAAACTAGACCTCTTTGATGCCGGAGGGGACAAAAACCAGAAGAGCAGTATGCACCGGCTGAGTCCTGCGGAACAGGACTTCATACGGAAAAAGTACAGACAAAAACACGAGTGTCTCATGCAGGAAAGACAAAGGCGACTGAAAGCCAGAGCTCAAAGCGCCCCACCGGCTGCTGTAGAAAGGAACAGATTTGGTAGTGTGAGTAAAATAGAAGAGCTAAATCTAAAGAGTTCTTCTGAAAAGCCATGGGTGGAGTACTGGAGGGAGAAACTTCTGAGCTAACTGTACGTAGATAGAACTGTTGTACAGCGCTCTAGTATAACGTTAATGTCGATGTGTATGTAAATGTGTCGTACATTTCATACTGATTAGCCATCATAAATCTTGTATTTTTAACCTTGGAAAGATGTAAGATTTATTAAGAGTGCGCTCATTACTACGTATACAATTAATTGCTGTAACAACTGTTAAACTGTCGGGCAAAGTTTCACGTTTGAGTCTGACTTATCAGTTGATTTCGTGGTTTCTTGAACTTTACATCAGCTTAACTCTGTGTAATTTCAACCTTAGAAATACTTACTGCAGATGCTACAACGGTAAAGATTCATTCCAATATGCTAAGTGCTATATGCGCGCTAGTGCTCTATTTTCAAATAAAGATACCGAGACTGCTGGTTAACTTTTCTGCCTTTGTTTTCGTCCTGTCAGTGAGTAAATGCTAGCAAAACTTAAAAAAGTTTCACGGTTTTATCAATACCTTGATTTAAAGAACAGCCATTGTTAGAGTTTTTGCCATGGACACGGAGAGAACGGAGAAGGTTGTTGGAGCGGGAAACCTTCTCTCCATGCCATGGCAAAAAGTATATCGGCGACAAAGTCGTCCCTCCGCGGCATAACTCGGGTCCCTCACCGAAAAAAATTATGCCGCCGCCCAACAAGTCTGCGAAAGAGGCTAAGAAACATCGTACGAACAAAGGGAAATGGTGCAATGGGGGTTTTGAAAGCACGGTATACGTATCTGTCTCTCTGTAGTATACGTCTATACGATACTAAACTTTATTCCAACACAAATGCACCAGGGTATCTGTCTCTGACTTGAAATCCGGCGTGCCTTCAACGATATTCGGCTTGACGTTAGCTCTATAAACATACAGTTTGGTTATCGTTGGGAAATTAACCCTCTTGGAGTTCTGTATTTTATGTCTGTGGACTGAACACAACGGTCTGGGCGGCTCGAAAAGTTACTGAGAATTGTTTACTTCCGCGCAGAGCATAGTGGGAAATATTCAAGATGGCTGCCTCCATGAAAAAATCGCACGGAATTTCGTCTGCCCCAGTTTTGGCTTTTTCATCACCTTTATGACGTCCTGTGAGTTTGATCTGTAAGTGCGATCGGCTTGAGAGTGCAGATAGTACAACAGATTGAAAATAGATGGCTATTACGTTATGTTCTTATCAGTTGAGCACATAAGCATCAGAAAAACAACAGAGGGGGAGGGGGGCAAACTTACATTTACACATTTACTAGTATGTCACGTTAGGTAGCCCAACAACTTTTTTGTTGCAAAATAACAGCAGAACTTAGTTTAACCGTAGAAGTAGTGTACAACACAGGCTTTCCTGTTTGTTTAGGTAACAGTCCCATAACACACCAGGCCAAATACACCTTATCTACAGTTTTATCTCATCTGCTGGTGGCCACTGGTGAAGATTCAAAGATACAGCAGGAAGGGTTAGGATTAGGTTTTAACCAATCATAGCAGAGGTGTAAAATTGCTTCCTGCTGTTCCACCAATGGGGCCTTATGCTCAAATACTGAGCATTCGACTGGCAGGTCCATCTGATTCTACCAGACCCAGGCTCACAGAGATACTTTGTGTCCAGTGTGCTATATATGGGTTTGGCACCCAGGCTACCAGTGACCAGGACATGATTTCCCCCTTTTTCTCAGTTCTGCATCATAGCTTGTGTAGATCTCCATGATGAAAGTCGTACTGTCCAATGTTGTCAACGGTTGCCGGGTGGGGTCCATCACAGAACTCGGTCGTCATGGCAACAGAGTTCTGGAGTTCCCCGGGTGCCTGTTGTACACTCGGTGTGGAGCAGCGCCACACCTGACGTATGACGTTCTACAGAAGGTGGACGGCCTGCCAACGGGAGCACAGCTGACTCTGCCTACACTGTGAGTATCAGCTAGGTATAACATATGTCACAAAGGTTTATTTTGTGTCTTCCATAAATCTTGAAATGATCATGATGGTATCTATTTTTGCAGTAATCTCTCCACCAAGAGGTCCCGTGTTCAATACCCTGACATGCCCTGAGGTTATGCCCTTGGAAAAGCACTTACTAGTAACATGACTTTCCTCATTTCACTGAGAATGAGTCAGATGAAAATGAGTAAATAGCGTCAGTTAGGGAAGTCCCTTAGAAGTTAGATAGGACGCTAAATGGAGGTCCCGTGTTTGGGAGAGCCACACCCAACACAAGTTTAAGAACCCACCACACCTTTCAATTGTTGTGACTATTGTCTTACCAATATTTCATGTACATTTTGTGTATGTCAGGGCAGAGCAGCATCATGTTGTACAAGACTTTCAACAGGGAATAGGAAAATTCACCGGCATGGAGGTATTAATGTGTTGCATTATACTGCATGTACCATGAAATCATTTGTTGAAATTATGAAGACTACTTCAATGATTAATGTTATGTTGTCTCATAAATTCAAAACAGTAAAATGGAAGTACATGTGCCATATCACTAACTAAAGAACTGAAGTTTAATACATGAAGTGTTGTGTATCCTGTTTGAAAATCTTGCTGCTGTCCTTGTTGTTCTTTCAGGACTTCTTTCAGTACTGCTCTGTGCAAGACCCAGCTGTAAGGGAGGCAACGGGATACAACTTCAACAAGGGGGTGTCAGTGTGGGGGTCAGGGGGGAGGATAAAGGTACATGTCAGTGTATGAATGATGTTGGAATACATACCAGTAGATATACTACTCTAGTACTTAGTAGTATTAAGCTGTGCCACTAGCTTGTCACTTCCCAAGTTGACATTATAAAACATGGATTTTTGTTGTTTCTTTAGCACTTTTTATACAGGATTGAGGAAGATGGCATTGCTAAAGCCTCTGTGCTTGAGGCTCTTCCAAAATCATCACATATGAAATAGTATGTACAGTTTATTTGTAGCCATGGCAGCTCTTGAATCGTGCATGTTTGCTGACATTATATATGCCCTCATCGAGAGGGCATACATGAATTATTGTCACCAAATGCGCTTATTTCCAGAGCTACCCTGGCTAGTGTATTTGCAAACTATATATCCAAAGACGTGCTTTTTCTTTCACACCCCCACATACAGTTAGAGGTAGCAGACTTCATGGCCATACAGAAGGCTTTCTGTCCTGACTGGTACCAGTGTCTGTGTGATGGAGACACCACTTCCCCAGACACCTCCAACAAGAGGCTGCGCAAGTCTGTCGACAGGACCTTAAACTTCTTAGATGAGTGTCTGGAAATCCATCAAAAGTCACAGGTAAATGTCTACATGATCAAATAATGTTATGAATATGTTTCACACTTTCAAACATGTATATGAAATGAATGAAGAAACAGTCCTACTATTGTACGACATGTATGCCACGATTAGCCTGGGAATCAGTCTTGTTAGGGGAATATCTAAGCAAATTATGGAGTGATAGTAGTCAGAACCCTGGAAAATAGGCCATCAGCTTTATCTATTAGAAAGAAGCAAGAAGGAAAGAAGTTTGGTGCCTGACAGCATTATTTGTGTGTATGGAAACTGTAAAGGTTTATGAATTCTTTGCTGTGTTTTACTACTGATCTGCATCTTTTTGTAGGAGTTAAAGGGCTCAGAAATCCTAGGTGTGATAGAAGGTGGAGATCTGTTGGAAGAAAGGCTGAGGTCTGCAAGGGAGACATGTAAAAGACCTGTAGCTGGTAAGAACTAGCTTCTCATGTTTCTTCTTCACCTTGTTCAGGAATTCAAAAGCTATCTATGCACCCTATTATGCTTTTTTATGACAATTTTTTCAACCATTGGATTACACATTCTGTATCTGTTGTATATTTACATTCCTGATGTATGTAAGATGTAAGCTGTTATATTGACATTTTTAGGCTTTGTACTGGATGGTTTCCAGAGCTTTGCCATGGAAAGAGAAACCAGAAAGAATCTTCTGAAAGCTGTTTTGGTAAATACAAATATTGACTGTTATTTGTTTTATCAGTGTTTGAAAACTTGATGAATTGGGTGAAGTGATATATGTAATTCACACAAACTACATTTGTATTTGTGATTTAAAAAAAGTAATAAGGCAACTATATTTCACCACCAACCATAGATGTAGATTGCTATTGTTACCATGATTGGGTCAGCCTTGTTCTATAAAATAGTATATGTCTGTTGTTACATGCTTCTATTTTTGTGAATGCTGCAGGAAGTTTTACCTGAAGACAAACCCAGGATCATTCATGCTGCTAGCAGGCCAGGTATGTTTAAGGCCCTTGTCGGGATCGAGCTGAATACTAGTCAATTCGCTTTGATTGGATCGAAGCCAGATGAAAGCAAATCTACTATTAAGTGTAGTAATCTACTATTTGGCTTGATCCAGAACAATTCTGTCCTAGTGGGAGGAGTAAGATTTTACCAGTCACTTGTGGACATCATCATACAGACTTTAGCAACAGTGTACTAAAATAATAAAATTAATGGACATAGTGACTGCCTGCAATTTGCCGCAAAGACATACATATACGTAGCATACATGTGTACTGTGCAGTCTATTTACAAATTTGGAAAACAAGCACACAAGTTTATGACTAAACAAGAAGAAATGTAAGGTTTCATACCTCCAGGTATAGTATAGTATAGGTGATTGATGATCTGATACTTTTCCATACAGATGAGGTTCTGGAGGCTGTTGAGTGTGGTGTGGACCTCTTTGACAGCTCGTATCCTTTTTGCTGATTTTGGTTAATATTACGAAATGAATGTAAGACACACATGCTTAAGGATCAATAACCTTTCACCTAGTAATCTATTGCACACCATCTCTTATTAATATTGAGTCTTAGAATATTCTCAAACCAATCCAGTACTGCAGACTTTTAAATCACAAAAATTGATACATGTAACATTATCATTTTATTACGAAAGCTATTCCTTAATCCATTGTGTACAGATTTCCCTTCCAGGTTACAGAGAGAGGCTGTGCTCTTGTCTTTCCATTTTCCAAAAGAGCAGCCTCAGATGTTAGTGATGAGACAATGATACACAGTCTGGATGATTCCAGCCAGGAAACCACTGAAAACCAACAGACTCGGGGATTGAACGAAGACACACTGCCACAGAGGACTATGTTTGAGATAGATCTTAATGACAGGGAAAAGTAGTAAGTCAAAATTCAACTTTTTATTTGCAGTGGTATCTAACGTTTTGATGGAGACAGATGTTGACAGCAGTCACTGCAAATGTCATCATTTTTGGAGGAACCATAAATACAGCACTTACTCATGAACTTTTATGGGTACAACGACAACAGTCACTGCAAATGTGGTAATTTTTGGAGAAAAAATAAATACAGCGCTTTAGTACACATAATGAACTTTTCGGGCACACGTAGTTCTATAGATTGCATGCGAGAGGTGTGTCTAAAAGAGATAACTCAGGGTAGGAAAATAGAAGAATGGCTCCTTTGGGTTACCAACTTCATCTTTCAAACCCACACATCTCCTGCAGTGCCTGGGACTTCAGACCAGTTCTGCCAGGCTGTTCCTGCTACTGTTGCCAGAACCACAGCCGAGCATACATCCACCACCTCCTGCAGACTGGGGAACTCCTGGCTAGAGTGCTCCTTATGATGTAAGAATTACTCTTCTCGTTGACTTCGGATATTACCAAAAAATTATTTTCTCATACTGTAATTGTATGTCATTCTTTCCTAGTAGGTCCTACCCTAAAAATATTCTGATTGTTATGATATTACGTACATTTTGTACTTTCCCTGGTAAGCAAGCTGATAAATATGCAGATGTTTACATTCATCTTTTGTTGTTGCTGCAGGCACAACTTCCATCACTATTTTGGCTTCTTCACTGCTATAAGGGAGTCACTACAACAGGGGACATTCCAGGAGCTGAAGGCAACTGTCACTCAAAGTCAAGGGACCAATTGCAAATAGTTGTAGATGTTCCTCACCAACTTCAATGACTTAGTTCTTCAGTGAGTCATGACCAATAAACATGTATTTCATCAATGTTAAAGTCATTAAACAGTAAATGATGTGGTCTCCTTGACTAGTGAATTTGTTACCTCCTACATGGACGAGGCAATGTAACTTATCAATCATGTGATATAAACCATTCCTTAATTTGTTGGCCAGAATAAAATGTATCCACCATTTTGAGAAGACTTGTTTTGTTCAGGAAAATTAATTGTTCAGCTAAGCTTTCTCGAAGAGAAAGAAGATAGGTCTATACTGTCAGCAGTCAACAGCTGATACTGGTATATAATATACCAAGCTGGTGAGGGGGGAGTATAGAAGTCCTGGTAAACTATAATAACTAGAATGGCTAACAGAGTGAGTTTAAATGGGTGTGCAGCAGAGTTAGCCAAGGAAAAGGATAGGTTTAGTCAATGTAAAGGTAAAATGGGCTGGGGTTGGGCTGTCCTGAAAGTGTACTTTAATATGTCTGCTCCTGGGCTCCACAATTGTCAGAAATACCCATTTTGTCACTGGGAATTTCCAGCTCACTGGCAAGAAGATAGTTAACCTGACTTGACAAACATCATTTTAAAAACTGCATATTAAGTAACTTTATTTAGTGCAGACTGAAGCTTATAGCATGTAGAAATTTGTACACTGCAATACATTTCCCAAAAATTTATAAATTCTCAACATGGTACTGAACAACTGTTTCCACAGGTCTGACCTACAAGGTACTGTGTATTCAACTCAAGACTCCTTAGGCAGGCCCATGCTTCTAACTACATTCCAGTTTTATTCTTCACTCTTCCACACCTACTGGAAGAAACAAGTGGTACCTCCCGGGGAGATAAAGCTTTTCCTATGTTGCTATAAGCTATACACAAGTTTTCCTTCTCATTCTAGCATTCTCTGTGCATGTTCATGAACTAACAGTGCAAAAATCCAGTTCATGGAAGGGCAGTGTTGACACATACATACTTGCAGACACTGATCACATGGTGCTAACATGAAATGAATCTTCAACAATGTAGAATATTTGACAAATAGTAGTGCTTGTATCATACATGTCATAACTGGCGCCAACGGAAAGTCAAATCCTCCATCAATTGTACTATCACATACACACGTGGATAAGCAACAGTGGGCGATGAAAATAGACTGCTTACACCAACACTGCAAGTAAGCTGTTACCTTTATACATCATGTACCATATCTTCAACAGTCAAATCCTTGCTTGATCTTTAGGCTAAAGGGGCAATGTAGCCTGTATTTACTTCCACTTCACAGAAGAACTTGAGAGTCCAATAGTCTCTTAAAGATTGCTTCGACAGATTTCTCTTGACACCAATTGTCTGGGAGAGCTTGTGGTTATCGCACTAACACCACGGGTTCTGCAGCCTCTAGAACACCCTATGGTAGACAGGTTGGTGACTTCTCTCTCTCATTTTGTTGCAGCTTAAGCAATTCGGTGATAGGTTCCTTGAAGGACATGAAATCCACTGGAAACTCCACAATGAAAATTTCACATGTAATCAGTCACAGTGAAAACGACACACAATAGTTTCTTACGTTCATAAGAAGAAAGTCTTGAATGCCTGCTTGGACATTCCGAGGCATTTCTCTCTGTTGCAAGACATGCACTTCCCTCCTCCTCAAGGGATGGCATGTCACCCTTTGCTAGCCTCGATATATACTGTATAGTGTAACATCTATCTCTGATACAGGGCAGAGTGTTGGATTTACTTGGAGCCGTCCTTATTATCGCTCCCTTCTTTCATCTTTTCATCAGGTTTGGCAGCTGCATGGGTGTCCTCAGCTCTAGTGCTCCCAGCAGAGGCGGCACCCATGGCATCTGGACTTGGTTTGGCTTTGTCTCCCTTCTCGTCCTGGGTGACAGGTGAGGGAGAAGACTTGGTTGAAGGTTTCCCCTGCTGAAGGAACTTCTGGGCATGCTGCAGCAACTCAGCTCTCTGACGTGCCTGGGCATCCTTTAGCTTCTGCTGGGCTGACGAGGTGCCTGGTGCAGTTTGTCCCTGCTGTTGTCGAGGTTGCTGCTGTTGTTGTTGCTGCTGTTGCCCCTGCTGATGCATCACTGGCATCCCCGTCACAGGCCTCTGCTGCCGCGGGACACTAGTCATGACTCCAGGGATCTGGCTGGGGAGGGGGATGGTCGGGCGCTGGATGGGTGCCGGGTAAGCACTGTGATGCGGAGCTCGCTGCAGCATGGTCTGCTGCATGGCCTGCTGAGGCCGCACCAATCCTGCACTCTGAGCGAGCATGGTTGCCCCCAGCTGAGTGGGGAGCCCTCCCCCTTGGAGCACCTGAAACTTCTGCTGCCCCGTGGGTGGGAAGGCAGCCTGGTGCTGGTACTGCGGCTGCGAGTGCCGCAGGTGGCTCTGCTGCTTCTGGTACTGAGATAACCCGCTCGTTCCAGTCTGCCACGATGGGCTGGTCGTGCTTGGGCGGAACGGACTCGACGTCGGAGTCACGTTCTTCGGCGTGTAGCTCGTAGGCGGCGTAGCGTTCCCTGCGTGGTCCTTCCCGACACCGTACACTTTTGCATTGGCTTCTTGCCGACTGACCTCCGCGGCAATGCTTGGTGCCATGGCCTCCAGTGCCGACTTCAGTCCCTGGTTTTGCTGCTGCTGCACAGAGGGTGGTAATGGAATGTGTAGTTGTTGTGGAGCTGCAGCCGCAGTGCTGGGGTACCCCTGCAGGGAGAACTGGCCCAGCTGTAAGGACGGCTGCTGCAGCTGGGTGGACGGCGACGGCGCTGCAGTGTAGAACGTGTTCTGGGACTGCTGCTGGTTCTGAAGGAAAGAGGTCGGCTGCTGGAGGGTCGCTGGACGAGCTTGCAACACCTGAGAGCTCAGGATGGACGTGTTGGCCGCCAGGCCCTGGTTGGCCTGGGTCGGGTCATACTGCAGGAACACCTGCTGGGAAGGCTGTGCCCCTACTGGCGTCTGGCCGTACTGGAGATTCGATGCCGTGTTCTGAGGGGGCTTAAACGCCGACGCTGACATCAGAGGTCCTCCGCTTCCCGAGATCAGCATGGATCCCTGGGAGAAACTGGTCTGCGACAGCGGCTGCTGGGAACGGAAGCCCTGCATCGCGGTAGACTGGAACATTTCCTGGGCCTGGGACTGGGGCGGCGGGGGCTGCATGCCCTGGCTCATCCCCAGCTGAGTCTGACTGATCCCCAGCTGTGTCTGGTTGATGCCTAACTGTGTCTGGTTCACCCCCAGCTGGATCTGGTTCATGCTCAACTGTGTCTGGAAGGTGGTGTTGAGAAGAGGCTGCAGCTGCTGAGGCTGGGACATGGGGAACTGGTACCCAGTGCCAGGCTGCTGCTGCTGCTGCTGAAGGCTGGCCAGCACCTGGAATACACAAAGACGTCTCAATTACACAATGTCAAAGAGCAGATACATTCAGAAATACACGTATCTTGTTTCAATCTATTTGCATATCATTATTAGCAACTCTTCTTTACGCATTCCTAAGTTAACTTGAAGGAACATTTCTAGTAATGATTAGCTTCATCTCTAAAATACCACATGACACAATCAACATGGGTGGCTTTTTCAGAGGCAACATGTTTACATACTACTGTTAGATTATTATTGGTGATTAATCGTATTCTAGCCACCAACCATAATGAAATGTTTTACTGTGACCAACCTGTGCCTGAGGCAACAGCTGAGTGGTGTCCAGTGCATAGAAGGGTTGAAACTGGCTGGGTTTGGTCACACTGAAGGCCTGCAGACTCTGCATCTGGTCAGCCTGGCTGGAGAACTGGGCCTGGTAGCTCCCACCAGATATGGACGAGGATGAGCTACTGCCTGTAATGTACAAATGGACATAAGCTATTAGGTTTTCTTTTTAACACAGCCGTTATAGACTTTCACCTGCTTATACTTTGAGGCATTTTGCCAATTCTTGCCACTTTACGTTACGCTGATGTAGGCAGCTCTCCAGTACTTCAGTCAGAAGCTCTGAGGAAGGTGTCTGATAGATATTGAAACGTAAGCAGGTGCTAGTCGATAACGATGGTGTAAAAAGAAACTAACACCCTATGCTTTAACAACTAGACAAAACTATTTTCAGAAGAACCAATACTGAAAGCACTGCAAAGTACGACCATAAAACGCTGTTGCGAGGACAAGCTGTGTATTGTCCTCTGGAGAATCACTTACTCATGGATGTTATCTGTAACTGCTGAGGCTTGACTTTAGCCACGTTGGGCTGGTCATTGCTGGGCTTCATGGAGGGCTGCTGGATGGAGCTGGTGGTCACGGCTGATGCCACCGGCATGGACACAATAGGAGACAGGGATCCTGTGGACACATCAACAGTATTTATCTCACCTCAAGTCACCATTCGTGCTAATGAACACGTGTATGAATGTTGTTGAGCATCATGCCTAGCATTGCCCACAATTTGAGACATGAGGTGATCTGATCCTGTTGTGTATTCAGATGAAGAGATGAACACAAACCTGCATTCCCTCCATCAGAGCTAACGTTGCCCACACCCGGGCCCTCGGCAGATACAGTTGAGAAGGTGCTGTAGGTCTTGGTGTCCGTGGTGCCTATGGAAGCCCCGATGGAGGGGCTGGAGGACATGGGCTGGTTGCTTGACGGCGTGACAGAGCTCGGCGAAGGGACACTATGCTCCATAACAGGCGGGAGGTTCTCCCAAGCCTTCCTTCCGAGCTCCATTTTCAAGGTCAGGTCAGCGGTCGCTGGAGAGACTGGGGACTGGATACCGGCAGTCACACCCTTGGTGATGGGGATGGACTGGGGGAGACCAGATTTCGTCTTGTCCACGGGACGGGGGGACCCAGCGTTCAAGAGGGACACGTCTGGTTTGATGTCCAGAGTGGACGCCACACTGGAGGCCAACTCATCACCATCACCACCACCCTGTAAGGGGAACAATTATTCATTAGCAATTTTGCACACTCTGCATATTACCAACAACAAGAGCAACATCCTGTCTTCAGAAATGGTTGAAGATGACTGATCTGGCTTTTCCCCACCACCTGAAAGAGGAACATGCTGCATGCATTATCACTCACATCAACAGACAGAAGAAGTTAGAGGTCGTGATAGAGACTAGAGGAAAGGGTGCAAACAAACCTTTGGAGTGTCTGGTGGGAATTGATCAACAGCACCTTCCGCCTGGTCA